AAAAAAAAAAAAGGAAGAAGAAGAAAGAAAACGGCGAAACAAAAGACAAACAGAAGGCTGAGCAACAAAATTACCACGTAGACAGAGGCTCAACCCAGGACCAATAGTAACAGCCACTGCAGAAAGATCTTCCTCTGTTACATTAGCTTTATCAAGAGCCTCTTGCACTACCTTTAGACAGAGAACATCTTAGGTTATCAGGGGATAACAAAAACACTACCTCTAGACAAATAAAAAATAACTGACTTTCAACATAAGCAACCGTCTTTTGCAGATTGACAGGACAAAATTTAGGAGCAGAACAGAGTTCAAAACCAATGCTAAGCATTAATGGAAAAAAAATAAATTCAACAAATAACTCAAATGGAAGAATAAAATCCTCATGACAAACAAGATGCGTGCATGATGCAGCTAAACATGTTCAAATTTTAATGAATACAGCAAAACATGAACAATATGCATGCACTCAATCGGAACGAGATCTTTTACCAAGCCTGCATATCTGTACCTGATCAATCACTTGCGCGTGTGCTTCTTCTGCCATTTTAGGAGCAACACCTCCGTATTGGACGAGCAGTTCTGCCTTGATGGAGTGAGGTTATATAAAAATCAACAAATGCCATCAACAAAACTAAAGTGCGTCATATAAATAGCACTTATAACTCGTACACCTAAAAGAAACAGTATAATTCAATGTTAAGTTGCTTGGTATCAACACAGAGAGCATCATGAGGAGAAAATGAAATAACATTCAAAGGATGAACATCGTCCAAATGCGATAAAACAAATGCATTCAGTTAAGTGCTCTAGAACTCCAAATGCAAGGCTATAACCACTTAACATTTCCAGGTAGAGCTAATTATTTAGAGACAACGAAATACGTCCACACATACCTGAGAAGAAACAACTTGGCTAAGAATTTCACCATTGCTTCGAACCTATCACCACGCAAAACATACAAAATCACCGACTTTACCATCCGTTTCACCAAATAAACCAAAACCCACAAGATATCAACAATTAATTTCACAAAAAAAATCACCCCATCAAATTGTTACATTGAAATTTGAATGAGCATTCACTCCCCTCGAATAAAAACACTTACTACAGCTGCAGCAGTGTCGTCGCAGCTAGTCTCGATTCCCAGCATAAGTAATTCTTCATCTTGGCCTAACGCGCTTGCGGTTTGAGCTTTTGGGTCGGGTAAAAGTGAGGCTTTGTGATTTAAATCAAGGAGAATAGGTTGTGCAAGTCTGCCCAGTTTGAAGTGTCGTCGAAGAAATAGATGGGGTTTAATGGAGGATCGAAACATGGGCCTGCGCAGAATGATTAGGCGGGAAACTCTGGGGGAGAAGCTGGATATCAGAGACGCCATTTGGGAACTGAGAGCTGGAGAGCTCCAGAGATTGGGTTTCGTCTTGTGGAGATTGAAATTAGCCGGCCCAAATTCGCTTCTATTTATTTGTACCTTAATAATTATAATTATGTT